CTCACTTTACCTAATATGGCGTTCCTGTCTACTCTGTTATTATATTTTGGTTTTCCCCGATAGGTATTAGCAAGACGCTCTACTGACAAACTTCCCCGCTATGTACGACTGATGACATCAATCAAATTCTCAGGAAATCGGCGGTGGGGTAGTTTTGGGGGAGACAGGGTTATGAGCAGGCGCGTACGCAGGATATTTTCGAGGGGGGTTAAGATTTGAAAATCACGCCGAAAAGTTCGCAACGACTCAGCCGGCCGCTGAATAAGTGGGGGGGGGGGGGTGGGGGGTGGTAAGAGGACACAATTTTTGTGTGTGTGTGTCTCCAAAATCGCAAATTTGGCCGATCGATGTTTCGTTTCGTTGGGGGGGGGGGGGGGGGGTAAGGTCAGCTTTGGGGGGTCACCCATTACCACAATAGGCCTATATTTTTTTTGGTATCAAAAAACAAAACAAAAGGGGTGTTCTGTCCAAAACATACACATAAAAAAGTTAAAGGGGGGGGGGTTCAAAACAACCATTGAAGAGATTTAAAGTGCTCTAGAATACTGTACAGGGTTTCAACATTCATATCTCTAAATATTCACACTCAGCCAAGCTCCCTCGTATATCAAAACAAATCGTTATCTTGTAAGACTGTACTGTAGAAAGCCAGTCTACCCAAAGTCCCTGGAATTCAGAGGTAGGGGCTTTCTTCTATAAAGGGAAGGAAGCAACTCACTTTAAAGACAAGGTTCCAACAAGTCCGAAGCGTGTGAGGGCTGGAGATGCTTCTCACGAATTTAGTGGATTTCGCCACTCACTTTCACCATATAGACAAAGCTCTCTATCTTTATGCTAGAAGGAGTGGCTTGTATTGGCCTTTGGTCTAAAGGTACTCTTTATTACAATTTTCATTTTCACGAATGTCAATAAATGTAAAGAAATATGTGTATAACTATTGATGTTGGATGGCTTCAAGGCAAATGATACGTACAAAAAGATGAATGAAGTAGCTGAAGAGAGAAAAGAATTAAGTGTATTTCATGCTTAAAACCTAATAAACAGCAGAGCACCAGAGAGAGAGGGAGAGAGAGTTGTATATAAAATGGTAAGGAAAAATATGCTTGGTCTATGTGGCGAGGGATGAACGCTTGTTGTAGCTACAATTCAGGGTAAATTTGTTAACAATATTTTCGAGTTTGGGGCCCCCAGATTTTCTACGTATATTATTAGGCCTATCATATAAAACGCTTGCATGTTAATTTTTCATGACTATACAAACTTCCCGTGTACACAAACACGCACGCACTCGTGTTTGATATGAGTGGGTGTGTGAGTGGGCGTCTCTGTCTGTGTGTGGGAATGCATACAATTTACTGTAATTTCATTAATCACCCACCCCCATTTACATACAATAATATTTGGAACCTCTCTACGCCACTGCTTCAGCGGCTGTCAAGATGTTATTTCTTTATTTAATTTACTCTAAAATAAAAAATGAAGCATTGAAATTTCACCAATGATTGATTATACAAACTTCCCGTGCACACAAACACACTCGCATTTGTGTTTCATATGAGTGGGTATGTTTTTCTAGGTTTCTGTCTGTGTCTAGGCATGCATTAAATTTACTGTATTTTCATTAAAGATGAAGTTGAGTTCTGGTCATGCCATTGCATTGTGAAAGAAACGGTGTGGAATCGACCAGAGAAGGTTGATCATCTAGCATATAAGTATTCGCGTCTATTGCAAGGTTCTGGAATCATCAAGATGATAAGAAAGTTGGCCAAGTCTTGGTAAAGTTACAAACACTGTACACAGAAAGATGTATATGGGACTACAAGAACATGTGGCGTAAAAATCCGTCCCAATTTTTACGATGTTACATGACATATTTAGAATATGACATCTTTGAAGAGCAATGCTTTTCAGGGAACATGTTTTATCTGATGTTCTTCCACACTTGCATAATAACAATGATAACGCTAACAAATTATTTTTCACCTCTTCCCAGAACTCAACCTTTTCTTTAAGGCCACCCCCACTCACATATAATTTGGGACCTGTCTACTCCACTGCTTCAGTGGCTGCCAAGAGGTTATTTTTTTTTTTTTATTTACTCTACAATAGTAATTTAAGCATTGAACTTTCATCGATAATTTATTTAAATCATTGTATTATTACGTCCGTGGAATGATCACACTTTACCTAATATGGTGTTCCTGTCTATTTTCTTTTATATTTTTGGTTTTCCCGATGGGTTTTCATTTAGCATGACGCTCTATCAACAAACTTCCCCGCTCTGTACGACTGACGATATCAATCCAATTCTCATAAAATAGGCTGTAGGGTCATTTTGGGGGTGATGATGAATACATTTTAGCTGCCCCCTCCCCACTCCCCCAAACCCCAACACCACTAGTTTGCAGGTACAAGCCCTTGCCAGTCGATGTGCTTAGCAATGTTTGAACTACATGACTACAGTAAAGAATCTGTGTTTTAGCCTGTAAGAGCTAGGCTGTGCCGAAGGCTTTAGAAATTGTTGAAAAGTGTCAAATTAGAGCCTATGCCTGCAGACTACCCTACCACCACCCACATCACCAAAAATCACAACAGCCTTCATTAACCCCCCGCCTCCGCGACACATTTGCTTACGCGGAATCATATACACGTATGGGGAAAACCCACTTTCGTTTTTGCGATGTAGTCCAGACGCGAGTAGAAATGTAAGTTGATCGTCGGCGTCGGTGATTTAGATTCTCGATTTCCTTTCATTGAATTGCGGTATGTGTTCATATTTGTTTCTATGTTTTATTCAATTAAACCTAAGGAACTGAAATGTTTTACTTGAAAGCCTTTTTTCAGTGAGTGGAAATTCATGGCAACCACATTTAGACCTAATTCAAATTGCTTCAGATTTAGTGAGATAATTTTTTTTACATCCTGAATGTAAAGCACATTTTTTTGCAATTATTTTAAAAAGATTAATTATTAAATAGAGAGTTGTTTAAATGCTTCTTGATTTACTTCTTATTTACTGAAATGCGCTTAACATTTTCTTTCCGTCTTATAAAAAACCACTGTCTTAATGACTAATAAAAACAAGTATTGGGAAATGGGGCAACCTTGCAATATTCTTCTTTTAGTCAAACGTTGTGTTTATGGATTACAGCCTTCCAAATAAACTACAGTCAAATTTGTAAACACTAACTTCTAATTAGACTAATTTGTTTCAGATATCAAACACTATAATAGAGATTTCATAAATTCTAAAGTTGATTTATGGTCAAGTATTTCTTATTCAAAGAAATGTTGATTATTTGATTCTAACACTAACACTCATTTTGTATCACTTCCATATTATTTTCTTCTTCATTGCAATTAAAGATAAACTTTAGTACTGGTAATGCGATTGCATTGTGAAAGAAAAGGTGTGGAAAGGATCAGGAACAGTTGATCATGTAGCATGTAAGTATTGTTGTGCACTGCAAGGTTCTGGAGTCATCAAAATCATAATAAATTTGACCGAGTCTTGGTAAAGTAACAAGCACTCACATAGAAAGCTATATATGGGACAACACACATGGTGTCGGGGCTGGTACTACCTTGATTTCCTTGTCTTTCTATGCTCATTACTCAGCCAGTATACATTTTCTTCCAAAATTGTTTGGCACATGTCATTTATTTATAATCTTGAACATTCAGTGTAAGTTTCGTTTAATTCTGTGAGAATTATTTATTTATTTTTACCAGTACTGGAGTTTATCTTTAAGGGCGTATATATAGCAGGGAGATGGGGGTAATACACCCCAGAAATATAGGTTAGGGGGAAGGACGTACAATCACCCCCCCCCCCCCCCGGTGTCGATGGAAACAAAGCGAATGTATAGCTGCTATGTTATCATGATGTGATCAAAGAAAGACTCTTATTATTAGTCCATCTGTGGTAGGGCCCATGATATCACAGACACTGATAACACGTAGGGCCATGCATCTCAGATTTAACATTGGTAAACGATGCCTTTAAAGGTCACCATCCGAAAGACGTGACTCAGTTTCGAACCTGCGTCCTCGGCTGAATCAGTTTGTAATTTCCATTGTTAGCTGGATTACAGGCTACGCCACAACGCCTAGCCTGTAATCCAGCTACTTTAGCCTGAAAGATCTAGGCTGTGCTCAAGGCTTTAGGAATTGTGGAAAATTTCAAATTAAGGTCTGTGCCTGCAGACTACACTACCACCACCACCAGAGCAATTCAATGAGTTCAAAGCAAATCTCTCTCTCTCTCCCTCCCCCCCCCCCTCTCTCTCTCCTTCTCTCTCTCTCTCTCTCTCTCTCCTTCTCTTGCCTATCTTGCCTCTCTTGGCCCCCCTCCCCCCTCTCTTCACTTTCTCACTTGCTCCTTTTCATATATCATTCTCCGTTCAACTATATTGGACCTGTAAGATGACTTAAGTCATTTCGTCAACTGGTCAATGACTCTGCATAGAGTTTTTCAGTCTTTTTTCCTTCAAATTTTAATATTATCAAATGTATGACAATTCAATTTATGCTGAAATCAATACAAATGGAATGGGGTTTATTTTATTTTAGCACGGTGGTATACTTCAGCCAATGGCTGTTCTTCAGTAAGGCCGTGCATATAAAACGCAATCACAATTCTACAAAGCAACATACATTATAGATTAACATGGTTTACATACAAAGTTAAATAAAATATACAGGTATATATATATATATATATATATATATATATACAAATAGGTTAGAAGGCGAGAATCCAAACAATTAAACCCTAATTTAGAAAAAGAAAACGAAAAGAAAAAATAAAAGAAAAACAAATCGGTTGTTTTTGTTTGCCTTTAAAAGTCAAACATGATATTATAAATATTATAAACTCCTTTTAAAAGTATAGTAAGTTGCTTTATATTTAGTTTCTACCAGCAATTCATTACATAGATTTGCACCATAATAATTTAAACTTTTCTTTTTGAAGCACGTTTTAATTCTTGGTTAAGTAAATATACGACGAGCATTTCTTAAGCTATAGGAAGCGTGTTTAAAATTAAATTTACTTAAAAGATAATCCGGGGTTAATTGCTCTGCAATTTTATACATTATACATAAAACATATTTGTTACGTCTCTCAACTAAGGTATCCAAACACAAATTGTCCTACAAAAGTCAAGTTGAGTATCTTTTTCCACTCTTATTATTGTTTTAAGTAATCTATTTTGTAAAATGTGTAGTTTTTGAATATTTTGTTTCTTCGTATTATTCCAAACAACATCACAATAATCCAATTTACTTTGAACAAGTGACTTATAAAAAATAATGCGGGTTTTGCGAGATGCAATGTCTTATTCTTTTTAACAAATGCAAATTCTTCACAGTACTTTTACACAAATGTTTCACATGTTTATCCCAATCTAACGAGTGTATTTCCCAAGGTATTTACACACAGTAACCTGATTCAGTTTTATGCTATCAATAAAAAGATCTGGATCTTTCCCACGAATTTCCCACGAATTCTGAAGATCCGTGTGTCTTAATGCCTTAGTTCACCAATGTACTACATCTCGTAACAAAGTAACAAAGTAGTGCTACATAGCCCATCTATCACTGGATTCATCAATTACTTCATTTTTATTTCATGGCTCATTCAGAGTAGATATAATTCACTTAACGAGATATATAACGTCGTATAAATGTATATAAATTGATGGAAGTAAAATTTAACAGAGAAATGAAAAGAGAACAAAAGAGAAATTATCAAACGTAAGATAGCAAGTTAAGGTCACTATTAAAGAACTAGGTTTAAGTAGGTTCATGGTTGAATATGCCTTTTCCATTAGGTTGGTTTTAATTTTGATCTAAACAAGGTAATATCAGAGATGCAACGAAGGGAAGCTGGAAGAGAATTCCACAAACGTGGAGCAGAGCATAGAAGGACCTATCGACAAAGTATTTTGTTTTTGCTTTGCTAACGGTCAAGAGAAATTAAGAACAATATTTATACTAGTTAGCTGCTATTCCAACCAATTTATGCCACAAATATGGCGCAGTATGCCAAATAGTTATAATAATTATAAAATTGTTGATCACTGTATTGGGCAGCCAGGGAGATTGATTACTGGTCGGAATCCATGACCCTTAGATCTGTTGGCCTCCATGATGCGCATGAGCTCTTCACGTTTGTCAGCCTCTATTTTCCGCAACTGTTCTTGGAACCGACGTTCCCGCTCTTCTTCCTGGAGTTGCATCTCGCGTGACTCCAGCTTCTGTCGCTCCATCTGAAGCTCATGCTGCTGCTTCTCAAACTCCATCTTCATCTTATGATCCCGCTCCAGGAATTCCAGCTCCATACTTCTCTTCTCAAGGTCTTTCTTGAGTTGTTCGACCTCTCTTCTTTCCCCCTCCACCATTTCCCACTCCTGACTCTTCTCCGTCCTCTTGACGCTTTGAGCCCCTTGATGTGATACCTTTGCTGTTGGCACTGGTTTCTCTGTCGGACCCATCTTCGCCTTCTCCGCCTTCTGCTCCAGCTCCACACGTTGGTAGTGCTTGAAGACAGCTGTATCATTTCCAATGGTTATGCATCTCTCGATCAGGTTCAGAAGATTCAGTTGGTACTGCGCATCTAGTTTGGTCTTATCGTTGGTGATGTTGGCCACCTCGTAGATATCGCCGATCCCTGAGACCCGGAGAACAGCGAGCAGGATGTCGATGTCGTTTCGCTCGGCTACGTCAACGTGGGTGATGACGGCAACGGGGTAACACCCTGCAATGCATGATGATAAGACGAGAAGAAAAGACAAACAAATCTATTAACATCTTTGTTTTGAGTATGCCCAGAGGCGTTGAACATTATTTAAGTTTTTTGTCCATTTTGCACCTAATATATTTTCAGTTTATGGAACCCTACGTCATATTTCGAACAATATTGAAAGTATGAAATCGTTCAACATGGATGTTTGTTTCGCTCACATGTAAAATTAAGGCTCAGACAAAGTTTACAAAGAATAGAAATATGATACGAAACATGGATAGTTTTTGGTGATGAAAAAATAATAAGCACATATAATATTTATTTTCATTTGGTTATGGCTTGTTTCGTTTCCTTAAGGTACGTTATTCAACTGTCTACATGCATATTAAAAAATATATTTGTAACCCACTATCCACCGATAGAAAATTAAGCTTTTAAATTTAATTCTCATTTTATGAGATAACAATTTGACCATTTTGGAAAAGGTATTTGTTTCATTTTTATTTGTCTTAAAGAAAATGTTGGTATTACATGGGATTTAAAAAAAATATTTATATATTACCTTGGCGACGGTGCAGAAAATCAACCAAGTGATTGAGCCCAGCAAAATCTGATTTGATGTCATGAATAGCGCTAGTAATATAACAGAAAGAAGAGAATAGAAAAAAGGGTCAGCTTTACAATTGTTACTCAGTAACTTGGTTATTAATTCGACCTTATTATTTCAACAGAAATAACTAAGAACCGGGAATTACTTGACTGTTCTTAATGGGCAATACAACTCTTGTAATAAGTCCAACTGAACGAAAGTTTGAAATAAATCGAACCAATAATAAGAAAGTTATGAATGTTTGTAATAAATAAGAAATCACTAAGGCCATGCAAATCTCAAAACGCAAAAGATATTATGAATAATAAATTATTATAGGTCCTCCATAGAGAAAAGATCCCCTGAGTCATACATTTTTGTAAGGTTGCGACGTATTTTGTGTGTCGGAATTCGGAAACAATGGGAAAGTTGTCCGGCCATTTTGAAAAGGCCCATATACCTGCATTGTAGTGATTACAACTTTCAAAACTTAATAACTTTCTAATTTTTTGTCCGATTTTACTCAAACTTTCACAAGTCAACTTCTCTGATAGTACTTTGCTATCAAGATTTGATTTCTGAGAAAGGTGAGAAACAATAGAATTGTAAACTCTTAATCGTTTAATGTTATTTTAGAAGAACATCACCTTAGTTTAGAAGAACATCATGATAGCAAGTTTCCTTGAAAGGATGCTCCCCAATTGCTCTCGTAACACAGTAAAGTATGACCAGAAATAGCTAAAAATGTTCGGACCACACGACTATGCCACGGGTGCCTGTACTTCCATATACTGTAGTATCGATTTCTGGCTGCAGTGTATGTGTTTTTCATCAAGATTGAGTAAAAACGTCACAGTATACACCGAATTAACTCATATCGTAATTAGGGGTTTGCCGAGTTTATTGTCCTTTAGGAACAAATTTTTTTTATGCAGATTAGCAAAGTGAATGTTATTAAGTATATGTTTAGGTTTAGTGGCACAGGGGGGGGGGGGGGGACAACACTGCCCCAATCCCATTGATGAACGCCACGCCACTGCTCACATAGGCCATGAATTATCAAATGCTTGCAGTATCGAAGCCAGAACTATATAACACCTGCTGGCAGGCACGTAGCCAAGGGGGGGGGGGGACACGGGGGGGGCACATGCCCCCCAAAAAAAACAAAAAAACAAATCCAAGATCAGTCGAACTTTTTTAGACCCTCTTTTTTACCTCGAACGATTACCCCCACAAACATCAAACTCTGGCTACGTGCCTGCCTGCTGGCAATAGCTGCCTTTAAATTATAAATGAGCATTCTCTTATCTAAATCAACATAAATAAAAACATTCAACAGGCCTACCTAAACACGAAAACAGCACATGTTATTGGGTGTCCTTTCTTACGATCAACTGCCGGGATATCGAACCGTTGTACTTCTTCACCTAACCATTGGACCTGTTCACTGTAGCCTCGGTCTCCGTCTAAAATGAAAATGAAGACAGAAACCCGTCAAGATGATTTGATGGACTGATTTGTTGGACTGTAAATACTCTGGCTACCTTTATCATGAAAACCATGTTGTTATAGCTATATAATCAAGTATATATCTCAGAATTAATCTATTTGTAAGGAAATTTGGCTACCGAAAATAGCCGACGCGCAGGATCAGACGCGTACGCAGGGGGGGGGGGGGGTTAACCCCCTCCCCCCACTTTTGTAATTTTATGTATGTAAACTCCCCTAAAATAAACCTAAACCCCCCCCCCCCTTTTGTTTTTGTTTTTGTTTTTTTTATTAAAAAATAAATAAATAAATATTCCCAATGTTAAAAAAGTGTCCTCTTACCCCCCCCCCCCCCCCCCCCCCCCCCCCCCCCCGCTTATTCAGCGGCTGGCTGAGTCGTTGCGAAACTTTCGGACCGATTTATAAATGTTAAAACCCCCCTTGAAAAAATCCTGCGTACGCGCCTGCGCAGGACCCCCGCGGCGGTCGTTAAAATTGTCAACGCCAGTAGAGATGATAAAATCATATAAACGCTTACAAAAAATAAAATAGGCCTACTTGTTGTCAAACGTTAGTCAGTTGAATGCAATACGAGTTGTCAAACGTTTTTTTTTTAAAGAAATGTGTATCAGTGGCGGTGTGCTATTATAAATACTTGGTAAAGTACAAATCTATTGTGATTGGAAATCGTTAGTTTTATGTCGCAAGAAGAAATAGAAACCCAAAGAATTACTCACCAAGTTGTGCTGCTATTTCAGCATGAACTTCTTCTGCACTAGGGTTGTCTAGTCCTCGGTTATCAATGACGTAGATGCATTGGGTCAAATTGGCGATCTTTCTGAACATGGTATGACCCCCTGCTTTCTCCTGACTTGCTACTTCAATCCATTGCGACTTTCTCAAACGTCCCTGAGCTGCAAACTTTAGGGAATTTATCAGAGAACTTTTTCCGCACCCAGTTCTTCCAAACAATCCAACGAAGAGGTTTTCGGGAAAGGAAATCTTGTCGGGAAGGGTGACGTTTTTACCTGGCTTGTAATCTTTAACGATATCGTGAATCTCTCTTATATCCTCCAGCAGGTCACTTTCGGAGATTGTCGCCATGTTCCTATTAATTGTATATCTCTACAGGAGTTTGCAACAAATTTAAAACAGAAATATGTGAATTGTAGTTTATCCTAAAAGTTATCTGCAGCCAAGCTTTGCCAAGTTATTCGTGATTTCTCAAAAATGAACAAAGTATTTCAGATGAGGAACTTAATAATTACCCGTTATTTTTTGTTGTTTGTTTTGCCTTTGTATTTGAAAGGTATTTGCTTAACCGTGAGATTGATATCTAGAATAGCCAAGAATTAGGGTAGACTCGCTTTCGGAAGCGGAAATACACACGTTCATAAAAGTGTGTGATGGCGTCGTTTATAAGGAGAATACTGCTTTATGGAGGTGTGGCTTATGCAGGTATATCACTGCGCCTGCGTGAGTAAAAGTACCTCCCAGGCCGATGAAGGCATGGCGAAACAATGACAATAAAATGGGTTTTTCCAAACAACATTATGAAATCACAACCACAAAACGCCTCAATTTTCAAATAGATTGTGTTGCCATGCAAAATGCCCCATATAACTGTAGGTACTTTGTGCTAAGCTATTCTTTAACTGCTGGCCCTTGCAGACAAATTACTGCGCATGCTCAATACTTTAGCTTAGCACCGCCCATACGGACGTGACCATATTTGTACACAATGACAAGGCAGTGGGTTTTTCCAGCTCCCACATCGTATTACAAACTTGCTTGTTACCCTCCATCAATTGCGACGCAAAGGGTGCTTTAGCTGGCAAGCTATCCGCACTGACTTTGCAACCAACGACGGGCAGAAGTTCATCATGGCGAGCAGGAACAAAATTGTCATCGCTTTACTCTCCGTTTCGACGGAAAACTCTACAGATCAGTTAATTGAACAAATCAAGCGCGAGAATGAGGATTTCAGATGCGTCTTTGTGAAACTCACCCAGCAAGACTTACAGTCGTTCCAGCCTGGAGAGACGTACGATGCCGTCGTTCTGTTACATTCAATTTCACAAGGTCGTAACTCCATCACTGACGTAGCAGACGCCAAGTACAGCAAGCTCCTACCCAAACTTAAGACGATTTATGGTGAGTCATTCTGAGTGATTATACTTCAGATATATGTTTCATATGATTTTTACATGGGCTGTTGTATATAGAGCCAGAATCACGTTTCTGAGAGATGATAAACGCATTGCGCCGGAAGTGGATGGGGGGGGGGGGGGGCAAAGCAGTAAAGGAGCAAAGATAGTTTGTAGTTTTTAAACAAAAATAACAAACAAATACTAAAACCGGAATTGAATCACATACAAATTATATTCCATTCAAAGAAAAGGAAAGTTAACACAATTAAAATTTCCTATACATTCCGCATGCCTCTATATTAATCAATGGAGGGTTTTTTTTTTTATAATTATAGCGAAAAGCGCATATCATAAAAATATTGTGAGAGGATGAGAAAGCGTATGTGTTTTTTTATTATACGAGTGAGAAGACATTTTGGTAAATCGTACCTTTTTATGCGTTTGTTGGAAAATTACAAATTCCCAAATTTACAGTCGGGCGAAAGAATGTGTTTATTTAGAAGCCTCCATGTCGGGGCCTGCAGAACGTCGGGGCCTGCAGAACGTCGGGGCTCGGGGGCTAGAGCCCCCTCCCCCTCACGATTTTGAAAAAGTATGTTAAAGAGAAAAAGAAAGAAAGAGAGAGAGAGAAAAATGAGTGACCCGCCAATGTCAGAAAGGAGGTATCGAAATATGCTAATCTGGCCGTAATTAAAGGCCTAAAACCCATGAGTTTACGGGGGCTCACGGGGGTCCCACCCCCTGGACCCCACCATGGACCTTAAAGAGGGCCCCTGGATGCTCATCTGACCGTAATTAAATACCTAAAACCCCTGGGCTTCCGGGGGCTCTGCCCCCTAAACCCCACTTAGGGCCTCAAGGCGGGCCCGTGGATGCTAATTTGACCGTAATTAAATACCTAAAACCTCTGAGCTTCCGTGGGCTCTGCCCTCTGGACGCCCCACCAATTAGTGACCTGCCAGTTTCTCAAATAAGGTATCTGAATATGCTTATCTGACCGCAATTTAATGCCTAAAAACCCTGAGCTTCCGGGGGGCAAAGCCCCTGGACCCTACACCAATTTACGCTCGCCACACCCTACCTGATCGTTAATTCTCCACTTTGAAAAACGTTCCGCGGGGCCTGCATGTAACATGTAAGAGTTGTGGTGATTCTGATTTTTCTTCGGGGAGGGGGGGGGGGGGAGTGAGGAGAGGCAAGAGCCCTTCGCCCCCCCCCCCCCGTTTCCCTCTTTTCTTATTATTATTCTTTCTTTCCTTTTATCTTCTCTTTCCCTTTCCCTTTTTTCCTTCTCTCTGTCTCCCCCAGCTAGGGCTGGTTTTGTTTACGAAGCGCCCGTCAGGAGAGTACACGATAGAGTACACGATAGAGTACACGATAAAATTTATATTATTATATAAATTTATATCGTGAACTTTTCACGATAAAATTCACGATATCGTCAATTTCATCGTGAAAAGTTCACGATAAAGTTCACGATATCGTCAATTTCGTGAATTTCTTCGTGAAAAATATGCGATAAAATTGACGATATCGTGAATTTTATCGCATATTTTTCACGATTTAGTCTATTCGCGATGTCCCTTCAGGGCCACCATAGTTTTGAAACACACGTATTGGACCTTCGAAGGGTAATTTCCGGTTCGGAGAAATAGCACGCGCCATGTGCTGTGTCATGTTGTTGTATACAAGCATGCCTGCGTGCTCGTCCATTGTTTATTGTATTGTTCATTGTTTACGTATTATGCGATTACGTCCTTTAACTGTTTTTTTTTTCTTCATCGCGTGCACATGCTAACTATAGATCTCGCTCCGTGCGTTACAAAATAAAAAGATCACTGCGCACGCACGCCGAGTAGCCGAGAAGCCTGTTTCAAATCGCAAAGCTATTTTTCCATGCAATCGTAACCGGGCTGACCAGATTAAACTTTTTTTTAAAGCAGAAACACAAAGTTGCAAACCATCCAGAGACTCCTTATACATTGCGTTACCCAATAATTAATTATGAAATTACAAATCTTTATTCTCAGTTTTCTTATGTATAACTGATTTTCTTATAAAAATGATATGGCGTATATATTCAATACTGAATGAACGCCACTAAACTATTACCAACAACAACAACGTGCTACTCCAAGAATAAAAAAGTGCGCGCCCTAGTTGACCTCCGAGCAACTCTGCTTCCCGGGTCAAACGGCGCAAAGCAGCTGCGTAAAGACAAGGCCTTCATTTCGAATCGTGACGATCCTCTAGGAGTCTAGGACGACTACCCCCTAGGACAACTAACCCCCTTGGGGTAGTTGTTTTAGGGAAGTTGTCCTGGTGGTAGTTGTCCGGGGGTAGTTATCCGGGGGGTTAGTTGTCCTAGGGGGTAGTTAAATGGGGGTGGTTATCCGGGGGTTGATGTCCAGGGGGTAGGTGTCCTAGAAACCGAGTGGATGTGTCACCGGACTGTGGATCACAAGGTCCGGCCGCGGTTCAAGTCCCGCCGCGGCACTGATGTCCTTTGGCAAGACAGTGATCTACATTTGCCACTCTCCACCCAGGTGTTAAATGGGTAACCGGTTGGATGCGAAAGTTAATGTGGTTGGATTAGCAAATGGCGCTTGTAAAATGGCGACTGGCTGGAATGCTCCCCAGGGAGTGGAAAATGTGCATACATTGTGTTGCGGGTATTAAAGCCTGAATCCGATGACCGGGGTAAATACGTGCTGCGCCTAGAAAACAAAGTATTAGGCGCATAATAAATGTGAGCTAATATTATTTTTATCCAATTGTGATAGTGTGTGTGGGGTGTGTGTGCGTGAGTGTGTGTGTATGTGTTATCTTTTGATACAGTCCTTTTAAAACATGCAATGAAAACAATGTTTTACTATAGAAAGATTTTGCGTACAACGGGGTGCTTGAGAAAGTTTACTGAGAAGCAAGAGCGATTCAATTTTATGGCAGCGCTTATCACGTGTTCGCACCCGAGGCTTTGAGCATCAGTGCGTGAGAATGGCTATTACGGAGGCTTGACAATGAATCTGATTATTCTAGAGAAGGATTCAATTAAAAATATAGCCATGGTCTTATCTTGAAAATGAAATATACTGCCTAATGAAAAATGTCAACAGAAAAAGATTTATCTCAATGTATCTTAGTACATTTAAAGTCTTCTCCAGTGCGCGTAGCTTGAAGGTTTTTAAAGGGTTACTATGTTTTAAACGCAGAAAGGATTGAACAGGAATAGAAGAATCGAGAGAGATCGAGAGAGAGAGAGAGATGGAAACATTTCACTACTTCTCAAATTGCTACAAATATAAACTTTAATCATACTTAAGCTTTACAATTTCGTAAACGGTTCATATGTCTATTACTTTTTGGAAAAGTGAAATTGAAGAGAATCATGAGACTGAATCTCCACAAACAGTGAGGAAAAGAGGGCGCTCTTCATCCATTGACAAGGATCTCTATTAATTCTACTGGGTATTTTAATAGTAATTCTGTACTCCTGAGTTTTCAACTAGCTATTTCTGTTCTTTTTTGTTAAAGTTTATTTGATGAATTGAACAGTCCAGGAAAATCTATTTCAGGAAGATAAGCTTTATGTAAACCATTATGGTTAAAGTCACCAAAGATTTTGACCATCTCTACTTTCTGTGATCCGTCCGGGGATCATGACGTCATTTTTATATGCATGTATTTATGTATTTAAGGCGAGAATATGAGTTTAGAATTATTCATAGAATTTACATATATTTTGACAGGACCTGACCGTGTTGCAGTTGTTGTTCACTCCATGACGAGCTTCAATTCTAACACCAAGATGGCACTGATGTTGGTCTTCAAGAAGTCCCAGCCAACCACCTTCCAGTGCTCTAAATGCGTCATCCAATGCAACAATCTAGCTGAAATGCGAGCTGAAGACCTTTCGCGACTCTCTGAATTCCTGGGGAAGGTACCAGATCATCCTCTACCCATCGCTGACAAAGAGGCGCATTCAACCCTTATCGCATCGTCCTCTGCGGATAAAGTTGATACAATCGAGACTGGTGGTAAGCCACAAGCCACAAATGCTAGTGCTACCAAAGGAGATCAAAGTATGGCTTCTTCTTTGAGTTCTACTGACACCAGTTCAATGTCTCAGACAGATGTTGGCCGCTCGACAAATGCCCCAACAATCTCGATTGATAGTGGTTCTCCTGACCCTTTAGAAGTTGGTCTCCGTTCAAAAGTTGCTCCGACGCAACCTACTAAAAGCCAAACTTCAATGACAAGCACATCATCCACCAGTGTGGGAGATGGTAACCTTCGGAACATGGCTACTAGTACGTCACAACTTGGCGCACGTTCTTCCGACACCGCACAATTCTCACATGCCTCACCGAAAGTCGACACTTCACCGGATAGATATGCCGACCAAGACAAAGTGATCGACACAACCTACCCCATAGCCTTGGTCAATCTTTCTTCAGCATATCAACCCGGAAAATTGAAGGATGTTTTACAACGACAACTTCCCGGAAAGACAATCATGTTGATTAAAGACATACATGACCTGGCAAGCAACTGGCACTTGTTTGAAGCCATTCTTGTAGACTTGGGATCATTACCGGAAGCTGCATCTTACAGTTCGGTTGAATACAAAGACGCCTTGAATTTTTTCAAGAAATGCCTAAAAGAGATGTGTAGGTGTTACAGTTTTAGTTGTAGGTTTTTTCTAATATAATGTTGCCCATACAGGAAAAATTGCTCTTGCCTCCTTTGGTGACATTATAGTTTATTATTGATAGATTAAGTTTATAATCTTCTCAGATTTATACTTAGAATTAGAAGGGTCATTTGATTAATCCGATTTCTGAGAAAATGCAAAATTTATATGTTAAGATTAATCCTTGTCACAATCATTTCAGAATTGTATAGGCAAGAGTATGCCTTTTGAGTAATGCCACAAAGAAGAAGGCGCTTAGAAGAAGAAACAAAAATAAATTATATTTTACTACACGGTGTCACATGCAAATTCACATGTTCTACACATGTTTACATAATAGCAGTGAAGGGATGTTCCTTTATCTACCACAGCAATTGTTGAGGGTAGAATGAGGAACTGTATATTTTTGTCCTCTTTCTCTGTCCGTCATGTTCATAGTGAGAATAAATCACAATCCATATTGCCATGACTGATCCATTGACCAATTTGTTACTTTGCGATTCACATAGATTTAGTGATCTCATATTTCAAACATTTATAACTTCCTTATTATTTTTCCGATTTATATCAAACTTTCGCAATTCTGTTTCCCTTAAGTTACAACGTAATAGAAGACTTTGGTTTTAGTACAATTACCCCCTGGGCAATCACCCCGGGAAATTACCCCAAGGACAATTACCTCCACCCCTGAAAATAACCCCCTAGGACAACCTCCCCCCCCCCCCCCCATTAAACGGGAAGTCCACCCTGATTTTTTTGGGGGGTAATTGTCCACGAGGGGGGTAATTGTCCTAGGGGTAATATTCCGGGGTGTTATTGTCCTTGGGGAGAAGTTTTTTCGGGGGTTATTGTCCTGATACAGAAGACTTTAAATTTGCACGTTCCAGTGAGCTCTCAATCTGTAAATAATGACATGATGATCGCACCTCTATATTAAGTCGATATACCTACATGTGTATAGTGAAAACATGTTCTATAGAATTTCACTAGTATTTATTAGGAGATATTGTTATAATAACATCCACATTTAAAAAACAAGCTCTTATTCGTTTATAAACAAATTCTAAAACGTTTACATACTTGTTAATATTTCTAATGTATGTTCGAAGAATCTTCTACAAAAAATAAATTCCAATGGGGTATTACAATTTTATACATTGCATAAACTTGTTGCAGGGGGTCTAATAATCGCTTATCTCAATCTTACTACCCTTTAGTGGTACCCCAGAATTTAGCCATGTTGATGCCCGCTCCGACGAATACTCCTTCTGACCATAAACATGCAGGTGAGGTAACTTATATATTTAATCTCTGACTCAACAACATCTTCTGTTTTACACATTTATTTTTTTATTTTACTAATATTTTAAACCCTATATGCTTTTCGCTACAACTGTGTGGCACTGTGTATATCGTCTTCTAGTCCGAGTTTTCTATGTAGATGTTCCTTTTCATAATAGAGAAACATGCCACTATCCTTACCCGTTACGGCACATTCAACATTTCTTCTCGTTTTATTATTTGCAGATACCATACGCAGGATAAGCGAGATCGACAAGACCACAGAAGTTTCTGTCTTTCAGTACAGCAGTGAATCTTGCAGACCATCTCTCTTTGATGATAACACGAAAAATCGACTGGTTTTCTGGCTTCTCGATTGCAACAAAAGATACCACGCAGCTGGCCTTCAGAAGGGACCCAGTTTCTTCAAGAACATTCAAACTCAATTATCAAAGTTTGTCCCGTCTTTTATTAAGAAGCTAGGCTGGTAGAAGTACGTGGATGGGGTAGTGGATTCATAGGCCGACCTTAAAGGAGTTCTTTCGTCTGGCAATGGAAGTCTATTAAGAGAATAATGCTTTTATCATGCTGATTGTATTGGTTATGGTGTCAGTACATGCATGATTTTTGTTTCATTAAATACCGCCAAGATTTTTGGTAAATACGTGTAGCTTGATTGATATCTACACGATACATGTATGTGACAATGGAGAGGCAAATACATGTATACGTGTTGCAACATTTATACAATAAAATTAGGATTCGTGTGAGGTTCATGCTAATTATCAATTTTTCTTCAATAAAGACAAATTTTTGGAAATCTCTATAATCTCTAACAATAACTCTGACTCTTCTTTCATCTCTAAAATTCATTACTCCCGTATCCATGAGAATGGCACCGTCCCCACCTTTTTCATTCTCGCTCTCTCTCTCTCTCTCTCTCTCTCTCTCTCTGTCTCCTAACCTCTTACTCAAATGGGATATCAAACCACCCCTTCCTACCAAAGGCTGCACCATGAAATGCCAGTGTAATCACTAAATTTTCATCTTGACCGTCGTATATAATTATGATGACGACGATATGAGTATTCCACACTAATGTAACTATACCCCGTGTAATACAGTTGGTGATAACAAATATAACTATAACAGACTTCGAGAAATCAACATAAGGCATTTCATATAGTATAATGTGTCATTTAGTGAAATTGTGGAAATGAATGTGACATAAATAATCCAAACATGATTTCTATAGTCATTATTGGGTTTTTAAAATTGCCTATAAGTTGAATTCTTATGGGTCTTTGCGATTGAGTTCTATATAATATTTTTAAACAAAATTACAAATTCCACTGAAAACCGTTTCATTGGTATAGGATTTACTCGAAAGTTACAATTGTGATTTTTTAATGAATGAGAAACTACGGTAAACGGCAATGTTGTACATATTCTATATGATATATTTTACAGACCTTTTGTAATTTTTTATTTAATAAATCAACTTTCTTCGTTGTTTGGTTCGTTGATTTGTTTGTTTCTCTGTATATCTTCCAAAAGGGATTCATATATTGGTAACGCTTTAAAACTGTAATATTCATAACTTCTGCGAAAACTTTAACATATCAATCACGTTCATGACTTCTTTAGTATTGATTTCTTTAACTCCTTTGTTTGTTTGTTTGTTTACCGTTTTTCTTTTAGTGTGAATAGATTAATGCTCTGCTCTGGTATTTGCAGGCAGCAATAGCCAATAGGATAGATGTATAACAGAGTAGTAGTAATAACCAACATAGGTTAATATTTTGTACACTAATGGGTGCGGTGACTTTCAATACGTTTGGCGCCGTTAACATTGTGAAGTTAGAAGTAGGTCACGAACGCCCTGCCCATAATAGTTGTATTTTCATCATCGTTATGTGCTCTTCATATCAATAAATACACTTTAATGGTTTACGCTCTCGTTGTGGACGTTGATTTATTCTACAAACCTGCATCATTTCAAAGATATTGGTCGAGTTCTTCAAGTTGACAGACAGCTGAGATTAATCATGTTAATATTTTGTTTCTAAGGAACATGTAATCGAGACGTCTGCTGAAGTCTCGTGAGAACAGCGAAAGAGAATGAAAGTGCTAGTGTTTCATATTTCAGGTGTCGGTAAAGATCAGGATGATACTTTGACTCCACCTGTCCGCCCGTTTTGGACTAGCTGCTTCAAGTCCATTAACCTTCCATTGTTAAATGAAAATCCAAACAATAGACCAATACACTCAAAGAAATTCGAAAATCAGAGAGGTAGACTGGTGAAATATTTAATGAAATCGGACAAATAATAAGAAAATAATGGATTTTTTAAAAGTTGTAATCATTATACGTATTTGTACTTCGAATTGACTGAATCGGTAATGTCACTGTGACGCAGTGCCGGGAAACTTTCCCATTTGTTTCAATACACAAAATTACTAAATTTTCTTGTTGTTTTTCTTCAAAATGCATGAATAACGAGGGTCTTTTCTATTCAGACTTTTAACAATCTGATATCCATAATATATTTTGAGTAGTGTCCCAAGAGAGAGGGCACAAGGAGAAAACAAAATGAATAATATTTGTGTGCGTGACAAACTGGGGAGTTCTCCATGTCTATGTCACAACCCACTGACCTATTTCGCTAAGATTTAGTGATCTCATATTTAAAACATTTATAACTTTCTTATTATTCGTCCGATTTACTTCAAACTTTCGCTCTTTTGTTTCTCTTATTTTCCTGATTTCATATAAATGTTGGGTTGTCCTTTAAGTCTAACATGATGTATTCTTTAAATGCGTTATTTACACCAACGGTTAAAAAGTTGGAAAGGTTAAAGAATGAACTTATGCAAGATTCATCATTACCTTTAATTTGTTTATATGCATGTAGTTATGTGCATGTAAGGGCGTGGATGTGCGTGTGAGTGTCTGTGTCAAAATGAATTCTGTTTCATGATCATGACGTTCCTAATGGTTTGGTTAACATGTTAATCCACTTTTTGTATTCAATACGAATGGCGTAGACATGTTATTTTGTTTATACTAAATAACAAACACAAAGTTTAAGGTTTTTTAAACTTACAGTAGATATTTTTTAATTCAATCATATATAACTTATCTTCACGTGTACTTTATACTCAAGAATCACTGAGGAGGCAAAGTCTAAGGAACCAAAGGTCTATAAATTCCAATCAGTTGCCTCCTGAAACAATACAAACAACATGCGACCGTACAATATCATACAGTAAATTAGTATGGATTTTCTATCATCCAAACACATATGTCTGTGTGTAAGGGAGCGTGTAGGTGCGTGTGTGTGGACGGCTGCGGCGTGCGTGTCTGTGTATATGTGTGCTTGTGTATTGATTTGTGTGGAGTTTTGAGGGTGGGGGTTCATTCAGGGAGGTGAAAGGAAGGAGGCGAATCTGTTGTAATTTATTCAACCGCATTCGTGAGTTCTGAAGCGTAACAATGGGATGTGTAACATTCTACTTGGATTTGAAGTTTCATGCTCCGAACCGCGCTTCCACTGCGGGGACTTTTGGAAGCCAGGCATCAGTTTTACATTTATTACAAAATATTAAATTACCGGCAAAATTTCAGTGTAAATCAAAAACTTTATATGGGGATTGTGTTGGGAAAAGTGCATCAAACAAATTTTCAAATTTTAGTACTCCGTCCTTCCTATAATTTGTGTGCCAGAGTTGGTAAAAGAAAAATGACAACCTGACAAAAGCTCAATATTTTAGGATAATGCGCTAATTTGTACATGTTTTAATGTCCCGTTATTTAATCCATGATTTACAATCTTCGATTAAAATTAAGTTAAAAAAGGATGAAATTACACAAGTTTGTGTTCGCTTGTTCTACTCTTTACACAATCAACAATGAATGAGAAATCATTGAAAGAGAAAGCGAACAGTTGCTGAGATACCATTTCTGAAGTAGGAATTCTAAATCCTGAAATTTCATGCGCTCTTTTATCTCACCGCCTGGTCAACAGTTGCATATTAGCGCATAATTTTTCGGCAGCTTGGAGCATTGGGTCAAAGGAGAGCGGCTTGATTCCAGTCCTTCTCTATCACGTCCCTGGTATATTATTAGGGACTTTTAGATTTGCGTGGACTGATACGTGAGGCGTCCATTCAAGGCAGTGCATTAAAAGTACGTCGATCGTAGCAATCCACGTTATCGTTGTGCAAATCTAAAAGTCCCTACTATCTCGTGGAAAACCTTGTCACTTGACACAAGAAATCAGTATAGCGGCAATGTAGTTCAAATTAAATACGCAATTTTCAACAACAGTACAATATATAACAACAATTCTCAAGAACAGTATATATAAACAAATCAGAAAGTTTGAACGGGTAAGGATTAAACATAAAAATAATTTACAAATCTGAAAATAATGTTTCGCAAAAGGTCTTGGATCTGTTACTCATTTACACACTCTATCGAATTTCTCAGACGCTATTTTTAAAGTTACGCTTTTATTTAACTATGAGGGGGTGGAGACATATAACATTCAGTACTGTCCAAAGTTCTACAGATTACATGCGCAAAAGGAAACGCTATCTGACTTCGGTGCAGGTTCTGCAGCATCTTTCACGAAAGTGTGTTTGAGAGCAGCTTCTTGATTGGACGATCATCAAACACATGGGGATAAAAAAAGTATATATGAAAATTGTAATATCCACATGTTGGATATAACAGAGTTAACATGTAGGTTCGTTAGCAAGAACATGACACATCAAAGTCGTCATCAAGGCCAATATCATTTACATAGGCCTATAACTATTTCCAGTTTAACTTTCAGTAGGGTCATTTAATAGTACATGTGGAGTAATTGTAATTATAGATTCTTATAAAGGACTGATATTTAATATTTTCAAGTATTTTTTTTTTATATTAACTTATAATTCATATATCAACATAGACATGAATTAATCCAATGATAAGAGTCACGCGAAGAAAAAAAACCTGTAATGATTTTTCATTTTGTGGGCTTCGCATGATTGATCCATATGTCTTCTTTTTTTTGCGCAAAAAAATATTTAAAGATAAAAAACAGTTATGGTCATGCGATTGCATTGTGAAAGAAACGTTATGGAATCGATCAGAAAAGGTTGATCATCTAGCATATAAGTATTGGTGCAAGGTACTGCAAGGTTCTGGAATCATCAAAATGATAAGAAATTGGCCCAGTCTTCGTAAAGTTACAAGCACTGTACACAGAAAGATGTATATGGGACTATGCACACGTACGCGACACGTGCGTTTATCTCTCATATAACAATAGATAAACTAATTTACCAAATATATCAATTAGTAGGCGGTTTCCCGGCAAAAATTGTTATCATCATGTATTAGTTAAAACATATTCTTTCACATGATTGGTAATAGGAGCTTCCATTTCATTTTTTGAAATTGGGGCGTTTCCAATACTGGTCTTTACCTTTAAGTTAGATTTTTATTGGATGATGATTTACGATAGCCTTGGGAAATCGATTGAAATATCCACGTTAAACATTGTTTTGGTTTTAAGGCACTTATTAAGTCAGACAAAGATTTGGAAAATAGAATGGCCATGAAAAAGGATAGACTTCCTCTCCATTCTCGAAAGTGGAGATACACATATTCACGTGTTGTTAAAGGAGAATACTGCTTTATGGAGGTGTGGCTTATGCAGGTAAATCACGGCGCATGCGTGAGCTAAAGACCTCCCAGACAAATGAATCAAGTGGGTTTTCCCAACTACATTGTGCAATCATAACAAGAAAATAACTTTAAATCCAAATAGATGTTGTTGCCGTGCATGAAATGCCCCATATAATTACCAAGTGCTTTGTGCTAAGCTACTCCTGAACTGCTCTCCTTTGCAGACAAATTACTGCGCATGCTCTATACTTGAGCGAAGCACCGCCCATACAGACGTGACCATATTTGTACACCAATACAAGGCAGTGGGTTTTTCCAGCTCCCACATCGTATTACAATTTTGCAAGTTACCCTCATTCAACATTCTGACGTTGATCTTATTGCGACGCAAAAGATGCTTCAGCTAGCAAGATATCCGCACTGACTTCTCATTAAACTGCGGGTCAAGCTTTGCAACCAACGACGGGCAGAAGGTCATCATGGCGAGCGGGAACAAAATTGTCATCGCTTTTCTCTCTGTATCGACAGAAAGCTCGACAGATAAGTTAATTGAACAAATTAAGCGCGAGAATTATGATTTCAGATGCGTCTTTGTGAAACTCACCCGACAAGACTTACAGTTGTTCCAGCCAGGAGAGACCTACGATGCCGTCGTTCTGTTGCATTCAATTTCACAAGGTCGTAACTCCATCACTGACTTAGCAGACGCCAAGTACAGCAAGTTCCTACCCACACTCAAGAAAATTTATGGTGAGTCATTCTAAATGATTATACTTCAGATATATGTTTCATATGATTTTACATGGGCTGTTGTAAATAATGACATATAGGTTTATCGCAGAGTTCAATGCGTCAGTTTAGACAGACAAAAAAAATAATGTCATTATCAACCACAGTAAGTACTCGAAATGTCTACAGAAAAGGTTATTTCCTCTCCACCATCTTCCTGTCTGGGCGGGGAAAAGGGGTGTGCGTGAGTGTGTGTATTTAGGCATTCGTTCGGCAGGGGGACTTTGGATGAGAGAGTTGAGGCTTTGTAAGGAATAGTCATCCGGGCTTACATTCTGGGACGATCATGCTTGAAGCTACAGGATTATCAGATAGGCATAACTGGGTTCGAACCCGAGGCGCCAGAGAAAGAGAGAAGACCACAATACCTTTTTTCTTATTAGTTATCCGATTTTTGCTCAAACTTGTTTTGATTGGTTTGTCTGATTTTTCTGCTTCTATTGAAAGTGAGCTATTTTTGGAGTGGACTTGCCCTTTAAGCACTCCGTTGTACGCAACATATGTCCATAGTAGAACATTGTTTTTCATTGCATATTCTGAAAGGGCCGTCTCAAAAGGTAAAACACACACACACACATAATTTCATCACAATTTAAGGCCCCGTACTACTGTGTTACTGAGAACGGAACAAGAAAAGGTGTGTGGTATCTTTTGATACAGTCCATTTAGAATCTGCACTAAAAACAATGTTTGACGATTGACCTACTAAGAAAGATTTTGGGTACAACAGAGAGCTTATGACACTAAAGCGGTTTACTGAGAAGGGAGAACGATTCAATAAAGTGGCAGCGCTTATGACGCTTTCGCATTCGATCGTTGGGCATTAGTGCGTGAGAATGGCTAATACGAAGGCTTGATATTTCAGAAAGATAAAGACAATGGATCTGATGATTCTAGAGTAGGATTCAATGATTCAATTTTAAAATTTGATAAACTGCTAATTGAAAAATATCAATAGGAACAGATTTATCTCAAAATCTTCTACGATTTAAGCTTTTCTACAGTAGGTAAATGGCTCCAGTGCGCGTAGCTCGTAGGTACTAAAAGGGTTGCTATGAATTCTCAACGCAGAAATGAAGAAACAGGAATGAAAGGAGAGTGAGACAGATATACAATTTCACTGCTTCTACAGTTACTACAATTACAAACTTTTAACAAACTAAAGCTTTAAAATTTATATGATTATCATTTTTTGAAAAGTTAAATTTAAAAGAATCATGCCAAAACTAGTGCAAAAAAAGACGAAGAATAGGATATTTGCCATTACCCATCATCTCGTACGTACGTGCACATCACCTATTTGTTCACCTGGGGATTTCCTCATATAATAGGATTTCCCCTTCCAGCGTGCGGGTTCAAACTGAATCTCCACAAACAGTGGAAGGAAGAGTGCGCTCTTCATCCATTGACAAGGATCTTTATTAATTTTGCGGGGTATTTTACAAGTAATTCTATAATCATTCCGTATTCAACTCGCTATTTATTTTGTATCTTTCATTGTATTTGATGAATTGAACAGTCGAGGAAAATCTATGTCAGGTAGATAAGCTTTATTTTAACCATTCTGTTTAAAGTCACGAAATATTTTGACCATCTCTATTTCTGTGATCCATCCGTGGATCATGATTTATATGCATGTATTTATGTATCTATGGCTAGAATATGTGTTTAGAATTATTCATAGAATTTACATATATTTTAACAGGACCTGACCGTGTTGCAGTTGTTGTTCACTCCATGACGAGCTTCAATTCTAACACCAAGAAGGCACTGATGATGATCTTCAAGAAGTCCCAGCCAACCACCTTCCAGTGCTCTAAATGCGTCATCCAATGCAACAATTTAGCTGAAATGCTAGCTGCAGACCTTTCACGACTCGCTGAATTCCTCGGGGAGGTACCAGATCATCCTCTACCCATCCCTGAAGATGAGGCACATTCAACCCTGACCATAGCGCCCTCTGCGGATAAAATAGATAGAATCGAGACTGGTGGTAAGCCACAAAGCATTCCTGTTTTTGCTAGTGCTACCACAGGAGATCAAAGTATGACTTCTTCTGCTCTGAGTTCTACTGACACCAGATCCATGTCTCAGACAGAGGTTGGCCGCTCGGAAAATGCCTCAGCAATTTCGTTTGATAGTGGTTCTCCTGTTGACCCTTTAGGAGTTGGTCTTCGTACAGAAGTTGCTCCGACGCAACCTACTAAAGGCCAAACTTCAATAACAAGCACATCATCCGCCGGTACGGGAGATGGTAACACTCAGAACATGGCTTCTAGTACGTCACAACTTGGCGCATGTTCCTCCTACACCGCACAAGCCTCACCGAAATTCGACACCTCATCATATGGATATGCTACCCAAGACACATTGATTGACACAACCTACCCCATAGCCTCGGTCGATCTTTCTTCAATTAACAGCACATCATCTGCCAGTACGGGAGATGTTAACCCTCAAAACATGGCTTCTAGTACGTCACAACTAGGCGCATGTTCTTCCGACACCGCACAGGTCTCACAGCCCCCACCGAAAGTCGATACCTCACCTAATAGATATGACACCCAAGAAAAAGTGATCGACACAACCTACCCCATAGCCTCGGTCGATCTTTCTTCAATTAACAGCACATCATCTGCCAGTACGGGAGATGTTAACCCTCAGAACATGGCTTCTAGTACGTCACAACTAGGCGCATGTTCTTCCGACACTGCACAGGTATCACAGCCCCCACCGAAAGTCGATACCTCACCTAATAGATATGACACCCAAGAAAAAGTGATCGACACAACCTACCCCATAGCCTCGGTCCATCTTTCTTCAATTAACAGCACATCATCTGTCAGTACGGGAGATGTTAACCCTCAGAACATGGCTTCTAGTACGTCACAACTAGACGCATTTTCTTCCGACACTGCACAGGTCTCACAGCCCCCACCGAAAGTCGATACCTCACCTAATAGATATGACACCCAAGAAAAAGTGATCGACACAACCTTCCCCATAGCCTCGGTCGATCTTTCTTCAATTAACAGCACATCATATTCCAGTACGGAAAATGTTAATCCTAAGAACATGGCTTCTAGTACGTCACAACTAGGCGCATGTTCTTCCGACACTGCACAAGTCTCACAGGCCTCACCGAAAGTCGACACTTCACCTGAGAGATATGCCGCCCAAGACAAAGTGATTGACACAGCCTACCCCATAGCCTTGGTCAATCTTTCTTCAGAAAATCAACCAACAACATTGAAGGATGATCTACAACGACGACTTCCCGGAAAGACAATCATGTTGATTAAAGACATAAATGACCTGGCAAGCAACTGGCACTTGTTTGAAGCCATTCTTTTAGACTTGGGATCATTACAGGAAGCTGCATCTTACAGTTCGGATGAATATAAGGGCGCCTTGCATATTTACCAGAAATGCCTAAAAGAGATGTGTAGGTGCTACAGTTTTAGTTGTAGGCTAATCTTATTTCACATGGGAATTTTAAAATATCAGAATCGGTAATGTCACCGTAATGTAATGCCTGACAAATGTCTTCCAAGATGACAAACAAAATGATATTAACAATTTAAATCCTACAACATTTGGAAGGATCTTTTTCTTTGAGAGGACAACATGATATGGTTTTCATAATACAAGTAGGAAAATTGCTCTTGCCTCTTTTCATGAAATGTTGGTGACATTATAGTATATTATTGATAGATTAAGTTTATATCTTCTCAGAATGTTACTAATCAATCAGAAAAGTCATTTGATTAATCCGAGTCTGAGATAATGCAAACTTTATATATCAAGATTGATCCTTTTCACAATCATTTCAAGAAGTTTATTGGCAAAAGTATATATTTGATTAGTGCCCCAAAGAAGAAGGCGCTTAGAAGAAGAAACAGAAATTAATTATATTTTAATACACGGGAGAATAAATCACAATCCATATTGCCATGACTGACCCATTGACCAATATGATACTTGGTGATTCACATAGATTTAGCGATTTCATATTTCAAACATTCATAACTTCCTTATTATTTTTCCGACTTATATCAAACTTTTGCAATTATGTTTCTCTTAAGTTACAACGTAATAGAAGACTATCCAAAGGACAATTACCACCACTCCTGAAAATAACCCCTAGGACAGTTACCCCCCCCCCCCCCCGATGACGATACCCCCTCCCCCTCCCCCTGTTCATTAAAGGGGAAGTCCACTCTGAATTTTTTCGGGGGATAATTGTCCTAGGGGGTAATTTTCCGGGGGGTTATTGTCCTGATATGGAAGACTTTAAATTTGCACGTTCCAGTGAGCTCTCAATCTGTAAATAATGACTTGGTGATCGCACCTCTATATTGAGTCGACATACCTACATGTGTGTAGTGAAAACTTGTTCTATAGAATTGCACTAGTATTTATAAGGATCTATTGTTATAATAACATCCACATTTAAAAAACAAGCTCTTATTCGTTTACAAACACATTCTGAAACGTTCACAAACTTGTTAAGATTTGTAATGTATATTCGAAGGATCTTCTACAAAAAATAAATTCCAATAGGGTATTACAATTTTATACATTGAATAAACTTGAATAATCACTTATCTCAATCTAACTACTCTTTCAGTGGTACCCCAGAATTTAGCCCTGTTGATGCTAGCTCCGGTGGATACTCATTCAGCCGATAAACATGCAGGTGAGTTAACTTATTATTCAATCTCTGACTCAACTACAGCTTCTGTTTTACACATTTCTTTTTTTATTTTTCTAATATTTTAGACCCTATATGCTTTTCGCTACAACTGTATGGGACTATATATATCGTCTTCTAGTCCCAGTTTTCTATGTAGATATTCCTTTTCATAATAGAGAAAAATGCCACTATCCTCACCCGTCACGGCACATTCAACATTTCTTCTCGTTTTATTATTTGCAGATATCATACGCATGATAAGCGAGATCGGCAAGACCAGAGAAGTTTCTGTCTTCCAGTACAGCAGGGAATCTTGCAAACCATCTCTCTTTGATGATAACACGAAAAACCGACTGTTTTTCTGGATTCTCGATTGCTACCCTAGGTACCACGCAGCTGCCCTTCAGAAGGGACCCGGCCCCTCCAAGAACATGCAGACTCAATTAGCCAAGTATTTCCCAAGTATTTCCCGTCTTTTTTAAAGAAGCTAGACAGGTAGAAGTATGTGGGTGGGGTAGTGGATTCATAAGCCTACCTTGGAGAAGTCATTTCATCTGGCAACGGAAGTCTACAAGAGAATGACGTGATCATCGAGCTTTTATCATGTTGATGGCACTAGTTATGGTGTCAGGTCATGCATGATTTTCGTTTCATTAAATACCGCCAAGATTTTTGGTAAATACATGTAGCTTAATTGATATCTACACGATACATGTATGTGGCAATGGAGAGGCAAATACATGTATACGTGTTGCAAAATTTATACAATAAAATTAGGATTTTTGTGTGGTTCATGCTAATTATCAATTTTTCTTGAATAAAGACAAATTTTCGGAAATCTATATAATCTTTAACAATAACTCTGACTCTTCTTTCATCTCTAAAATTCATTACTCCTGTATCCATGAGAATGGCACCCACCCCCCCCCCCCCCCCCCTTTTCATGCTCGCTCTCTCTCTCTCTCTCTCTCTCTCTCCTTACCTCTTACTCAAATGGGACATCCAACCACCCTTTCCTTACGAAGGCTGCTCCATCAAATGCCAGTGTAATCACTAAATTTTCATCTTGACTGTCGTATATAATTATGATAAAGACGATATGAGTACTCCACACTGATGTAACTATACCCCGTGTAATACAGTCGGTGATAACATATATAACTATAACAGACTTCAAGAAATCAACATAAGGCATTTCATATAGTATAATGTGTCACTTAGTGAAATTGTGGGAAATGAATGTGACATGAATAATCTGAACATGATTTCTATAGTCATTATTGGGTTTTTAAAATTGCTTACAAGTTAAATTCTTATGGGTCTTTGCGATTGCGTTTTATATATATATTTTAAGCAAAATTACAAATTCCACTGAAAATCGTTTCATTGGTATAGGCTTTACTCGAAATTGACAATTGTGATTTTTTTTGTTAATGAATGAAAAACTACGGTAAACGGCAATGTTGTACATATTCTATATGATATATTTTACAGACCTTCTGTAATTTTTCATTTAATAAATCAACTTTCTTCGTTGTTTGGTTCGTTGATTTTTTTGTTTCTCTGTATATCTTCCAAAAGGGATTTATATATTGGCAACCCTTTCAAACTGTAATATTCATAACTTCTGCGAAAACTTTATCATATCAATCATGTTCATGACTTCTTTAGTATTGATTTCTTTAACCCCTTTGTTTGTTTGTTTGTTTACCGTTTTTCTTTTAGCGTGTATAAATTAATGCTCTGCTCTGGTATTTGCAGACAGCAAAAGCCAATAGGATAGATGTATAACGTAGTAGTAGTAATAACCAACATAGGTTAACATTTTGTATAATAATGGGTGCGGTGTCTTTCGTTACGTTTGGCGCCGTTAGCATTGTGAAGTTAGAAGTAGGTCACGAACGCCCTGCCCATTATAGTTGTATTTTTCATCATCGTTATGTGTTCGTCGTATCAATAAATACACTTCAATGGTTTACGCTCCCGTTGTGGACGTTGATTTATTCTACAAACCTGCATCATTTCAAAGAGATTGGTCGAGTTCTTCAAGTTGACAGAGACCTGAGATCAATCATGTTAATATTTTGTTTCTAAGGGACATGTTATCGAGACGTCTGCTGAAGTCTCGTGAGAACAGCGTAAGAGAATGAAAGTGCTCATGTTTGATATTTCAGATGTCGGTACAGAACGGGGTGTTACAATGACTCCACCTGTTATCCCGGGGTAGGAATGCTTCAAGTCCAAATAACTTTCCATTGTTAAATGTCAATCCAAACAATAGACCACTACACTCAAAGAAATTCGAAAATCAGCGAGGTAGACTGGTGAAATATTGAATGAAATCGGACAAATAATAAAAAAAAATAATGGATTTTAAAAAAGTTGTAATCACTTAATGTATGAGTATTTCGAATTGACTAAAACGAAAAGGTCACCGTGACGCAATGCCGGATAACTTTCTTATTTGTTTCAATACACAAAATGACTAAAATGCAATTATCTTTCTTCAAAATGCATGAATAACGAGGATCTTTTCTTTTCAGAGGACCTTTAACGATGTGATATACATGATATATTTTGAGTAGGCCTAGTTCCCCAAGAGAGAGGGCACAAGGAGAAAACAAAAATGAATAATATTTGTGAACATGACAAACTGGGAATTATCCATGGCTATGTCACAGCCCACTGATTAAATTGCCAATTTTGGATTCGCTAAGATTTAGTGATCTTATATTTCAAACATTAACAAATTTCTTATTTTTTGTCCGATTTACTTCAAACTTTCGCTCATTTGTTTCTCTTATTTTCCTGATTTCATACAAATGAACCTATTACAACGATTGGGTTGCCCTTTAAGTCTAAAATGATGTATTCTAAACATGCGTTATTTACATCAGCGGTTAAAAAGTTGGAAAGGCTAAAGAATGAACTTATGCAAGATCATTACATTTAACCCGTTCAGCTCGGCATTATTCAGCCTGATAGCCACCTCACAAACGAGATTAAAAATCGAACATGTCGTACCGTGAGACCGCTCAGCGCGCGGCACAATGCGTGTGCGTTCAAGTGGCCAGAGGCTTCGACTAACGGGAACCTAGCGCATGCGCAGATCATTTGGCAATCTGGCTTTGTCAAGAAAGTCGTGAGCACGTTGCACGGCCGTCCTCTGCTGTGCTCCAAGCCTCTCAGTTCTTTCAGCTCTTTCGTATAGGGTTTTCTTCGTTGTCATCTTTTCTTCTTCTTCTTCGCCTCCTTCTTATTTTTTTCTTCTTCTTCTTTCTCTTCCGCATCTTTTCTTTTTTCTTCTCACTCCTATTTCCCCTTCTTCTTCTTCTTCTTCTTCTTCTTCTTCTTCTTCTCCCTCTTCTTCTTCTTCTTCATCTCTTTTTATTTAGATACTCAATTTTATGAGAAAAATACACAATTTATAAAAAGTAAAAGATTTTGTTTGTAAATCTCTGTTGCATCAAATTAATATGAAATAGTTTATCAGCCCAAATATACGGTCAATATATATCGGACATTATTAGCGTAAAGATATAAACATGATAAAATGAAACTAAAGAAGAATCCAGAACGGGGGGGAGGCCGGGGGGAGAAAAAGGAGAGACAAAATAGCATAATAATAAATAAATACAGTTCAGACTTTATACCGATGCGCCAAACTTTTCCCCTCTCTCTCTCTCTCTCTCTCTCTCTATCTCTTTCTCTCGGTCTGTCTGTCTGTCTTTCTCTCTCTGTCTCTCTGTCTCTTATTTTGTTCTTCTTCTTTCTTCTCCGTATCGTTTCTTTTTTCTTCTCACTCTAATTCCCCCTTCTTCTTGTTGTTGTTGTTCTTCTTCTTCTCCCTCATCTTCTTCTTCTTCTCCTTCTTCTCCTTCTTCTTCTTCTTCTTCTTCATCTCTTTTTATTTAGATATCCAATTGTATGAGAAAAATACACAATTTATAAAAAGTAAAACATTTGTATGTAAATCTCTGTTGCATCAAATAAATATGAAATAGTATATCAGCCTAAATTGACGGTTATATGTCGGACATTCTACTTTAGCGAAAAGATGTAAACATGATAAAATGAAACTAAAGAAGAATCCAGAACGGGTGGGGGGGGGGGGGGTGGGTGAAAGGAGAGACAAAATAGCATAATAATAAATAAATACAGTACAGACTATAACAATGCACCCAGCTTTCTCTCTCTCTCTCTCTCTCTCTCTCTATATATATATATATATATATATATTATATATCTCTGTCTATCTGTCTGTCTTTCTCTCTCTTTCTCTCTCTCTCTCTCTCTCGCTCTCTAAAAAGATTATAGGGAAAACGAAATAGTGTGTAAGTATTTGGAGAGCAAAATAATTAGTTTGTTTTATTTACTAATGTAAAGCGCTTTGAGCATGTTTATGCCAAATAAATATCAATATGTATGAATATATTGCCAAATGTTGACAATTGTAGTTTGTAAGTATACGTATTGACAGAGTACATACAAATAAAACCGACACAGAAATGTCTGCAAGTATTTGGGACCTATATAGAATGTGCGAAAAGAGCTATGTCTTTGTCTTTGGCCCATGCATGTTCCCACAGCTGAGTTACGTAAGAGGAACAATGAACGTTGCGTAGGGTACAGGTCGTTGTCATAGCTATAAACTCCAAAGAGCGGAAGTAAGGTAAGGGTATAATTGAATAATTGGATGACAATGAACTGACTTTGTATACAAAAGTCATGTATAACCCTGGTTTATGTTGTTTTGGGGGAAGGAAGGGTCTTGTTGTTTTTGCAGTTGTCGTTGCTGTTTTTTTTTTTTTTTAAAGGGATCACGTTCCGACATTCTCATAAATAAAAATCATATAACGTAAAGCCAGACTTTACCCTATCTGAAACAATCATTCAAAGACAACAATCATGCACGATAAAGGAATGGACAAGAATATGGTGATAATATAAAATGTCACAGACAAATAGATGATTATAAGAAATGATTGTTTCTCTCTCTTTTTCTCTCTATTTATGAGTCTCTCTCTCTCTCTCTCTCCCTCTATCTCTCACTCGGTCGCTTTCTCTGTCTGTCTGTCTCTCTGTCTATCTGCCAATTTTGTTCCGCCGTTTGCTTGTATGCCGGCACTATTCCTTTTTTGAGATAAATTATCATAAAATAATGATGATGTATACACCATTTATTATACCTTATTTTTATTATAGGGAGCGAAGTTAAAAAATATTACTGCACAATAATTATATTTCCAAAGTAAAACTTTTGAATGAAAATCTCTGTTGCATCAAATTGATATAAACAATGTTTATTATGCTATATTTACAATACTATTATACGTCGGACATTACACTTCAGCGAAAAGATATATATATATAAAAATTAAAAAAAAGGACAGACTAAAGGGGACAAAAATCGGAGCTGGAGGTGGGGGGGAGGATGATCGGAGAGACAAATATCATATAAATAAATACAGTACGGACTACGTCCAACTTTCTATCTCTCTCGCCCCCTTCCCCCTCCCCTTTCTCTCACTCTCTTTCTCTCTCTCCGGCGCTCGTTCTCTACCACCCCCCCCCCTCTCTCTCTCTCTCTCTCTCTATCTGTCTCTCTGTCTATCTGGCAATGTCGTTTTCCATCTTCATCTTTTTTTATTTAATGTTTTCTATTCCTCCGTTTGCTTGTACGCCGGCAGCATCTCTTTCTTGAGATTAATTATTATAACGTAATTATCCCTGATGATGTACACATTATACCTTATATATATTTATTATAGGAAACGAAATAGAGAACGAGCGGCTGATAATGTCGGAATGTGAAGAATATTACTGTACAATAATTATATTTCCAAAGTAAAACTTTTGAATGAAAATTTCTGTCGCATCAAATTGATATAAAAAAATGTTTATAATGCTATATTGACAATACTATTATACGTCGGACATTATACTTCAGCGAAAAGATATCTATATGATTAAACAAAAGGACAAATGTTTATATACATGTACTTATGTACATGTAAGAGTGTGGATGTGTGTCAGAGTGTGGGTGTCAAAATGAGTATGACCATGACGTTCCTAATGGTTCGGTTAACATGTTAATCCACTTTTTGAATTCAATAAGAATGGCAAAGAAAATTTGTTTTGTTTACACAAAATAACAAACACAAAGTTTAAGGTTTTTGAAACCGTAGATATTTTTAAATTCAATCATATATGACTTATCTTCACGTGTACATTATAGTATACTCAAGAATCACTGAGGAGGCAAAGTCTAAAGAACCAAAGGTCTATAAATTCCAATCAATTGCCTCCTGAAACAATACAAACAACATGCGACTATACAATATCATACAGTAAATTAGTATGGATTTTCTATCATCCAAACATATTTGTCTCTGTGTGAGGGAGCGTGTGGGTGCGTGTGTGTGGGCGGCTGCGGCGTGCTTGTCTGTGTATATGTGTGCTTGTGTATGTGATTTGTTTGGGGTTTTGAGGGTGGGGGTTCATTCAGGGAGGTGAAAGAAAGGAGGCGAAACTCTAGTAATTTATTCAACGCATTCGTGAGTTCTAAAGCGTAACAATGGGATGGGTAACATTCCACTTGGCTTTGAAGTTCCGTGCTCCGAACCGCGCTTCCACTGCGAGGACTTTCGGAAGCCAGGCATCAGTTTTACATTTATTACAAAATATTAAATTACCGGCAAAATTTCAGTGTAAATCAAAAACTTTATATGGGGATTGTATTGGGAAAAGTGCATCAAACAAATTTTCAAATTTAGTACTCCGTCCTTCCTTTAATTTGTGTGCCAGAGTTGGTAAAAGAAAAATTATAACCTGACAAAAGCTCAATATTTTAGGATAATGCGCTAATTTGTGCATATTTTAATGTCCCGTTATTAAATCCATGATTTACAATCTTCAATAACATTAAGTTTCCTAATGCGTGTTTTCGCGTGTTTTTTTTTGCATTTTTGAAGTTAAAAAAAGGATGAAATTACACAAGTTTGTGTTCGCCTGTTCTACTCTTTACACAACCAACAATGAATGAGAAATCATTGAAAGAGACAGCGAACAGTTGCTATGATACCATTTCTGATGTAGGAATTCCAAATCCTGAAATTTCATGCGCCCTTTTATTTCACAAACTGGTCAACAGTTGCATATTAGCGCATAACTTTTCGGCAGCTTGGAGCATGGGGTCAAAGGAGGGCGGCTTGATTCCAGTCCTTCTCTATCACGTCCCTGGTATATTATTATCTCGCGGAAAACCTTGTGACTTGACACAAGAAATCAGTACAGCGGCAATGTAGTTCAAATTAAATACGCAATTCTCAACAACAGTATAATATATAACAACAATTCTCAAGAACAGTATATATAAACATTTATTCAATTTTTTTTTTTTTTTTTTTTCTTCTCCCATTTGCTATGTTCTCTTTGAATATGTTTTTTTTTTTTAATTAATGTTTTTTTAATGTTTTTTTTATATGATTGTATGTTTGATGTAAACTTGCATTTTTAATCGTTGGACTTTTTGACAAGTTGTGAATAAAACCTTATTTGAATCTTGAATCTTGAATAATTTAATCAGAAGGTTTGAACGGGTAAGGATTAAACATACAAATAATTTTCAAGTCTGAAAATAATGTTTCGCAAAAGGTCTTGGATCTGTTACTCATTCACACACTCCATCAAATTCCTCAGCCGCCATTTTTATATGTGCGCTGTTATCTAACTATGAGCGGATGGAGACATATAACATTCAGTACTGTCCAAAGTTCTACAGATTATATGCGCAAAAGGAAACGCTATCTGACTTCAGCGCAGGTTCTGCAGCATCTTTCACGAAAGTGTGTTTGAGAGCAGCTTCCTGATTGGACGATCATCAAACACATGGTGGGGCTGAGAGTATTTCTGCAAACTGTTAACAGAAAATTAAAAAAATATATTATCAAAATTGTAATATCCACATGTTGGATATATAACAGAGTTAACATGTAGGTTCGTTAGCAAGAACATGACACATCAAAGTCGTCATCAAGGCCAATATCATTTACATAGGCCTATAACTTTTTCCAGTTTAACTTTCAGTAGGGTCATTTAATAGTACATGTGTAGTAATTGTAATAATAGATTCTTATAAAGGACTGATATTTAATATTTTCAAATAATGTTTGTATATAAACTTATAATTCATATATCAACATATACATGAATTAATCCAATGATAAGAGTAACGCGAAAGAAAAAAAATCTGTAATGGTTTTTCATTGTGTGGGCTTAGCATGATCGATCCATATGTCTTTTTTTATTGTGCAAAAAATGATTTCAGTTAGATTTTTATTGGATGATGATTTACGATAGCCTTGGGAAATCGATTGAAATATCCACGTTAAACATTGTTTTGGTTTTAAGGCACTCATTAAGACAGTCAGACAAAGATTTGGATAATAGAATGGCCATGAAAAAGGATAGACTCCCTCTTCATTCTCGAAAGTGGAGATATTCATGTGGTATAAGGAGAATACTGCTTTATGGAGGTGTGGCTTATGCAGGTAAATCACGGCGCATGCGTGAGCTAAAGACCTCCCAGACAAATGAATCAACAATTTCCCAACTACATTGTGCAATCATAACAAGAAAATAACTTTAACTCCAAATAGATTTTGTTGCCGTGCACGAAATGCCCCATATAATTACCAAGTGCTTTGTGCTCAGCTATTCCTGAACTGCTGTCCTTTGCAGACAAATTACTGCGCATGCTCTATACTTGAGCGAAGCACTGCCCATATCGCGACAATATTTGTACACAATGACAAGGCAGTGGGTCTTTCCAGTTCCCACATCGTATTACAAACTTGCAAGTAACCCTCAATCAACATTCTGACGTTGATCTTAATGCGCCAAAGCTGCTTCAGCTAGCAAGCTATCCGCACTGACTTCTGATTAAACTGAGGGTCAAGCTTTGCAGCCTACGACGGGCAGAAGGTCATCATGGCGAGCGGGAAAAAATTGTTATTGCATTTCTCTCCGTGTCGACTGAAACCTCTTCAGATCAGTTAATTGAACAAATTAAGCTTGAGAATGATGATTTTAGTTGCGTCTTTGTGAAACTCACGCAACAAGACTTACATTCGTTCCAGCCAGGAGATACCTACGATGCCGTCGTTCTGTTGCATTCAATTTCACAAGGTCGTAACTCCATTACTGACGTAGCAAGCGCCAAGTACAGCAAGCTCCTACCCCAACTCAAAAGGATTTATGGTGAGTCATTCTGAGTGATTATAGCTAAGATATTTGTTTTATATGAGTGTACATGGGCTGTTGTAAGTGTTGACATATCGCTACAGCGCAGAGTCCAATTAGGGCGCGTTCATGCTTGATTTTGACGGCCAGCATCAGGCATCTGTTACGCGTTTAGTTTAAAACACGGTTGCGTCTTAGCTCACTTTTGTAGAATCACCGAAAAACGGCGATCACGATCGCCGATCGTAAACTCACAAAAAGATGCGTTTACAATTTGTAAACGCGTTTAAATGGGGTCAACGCACTGACCTCTAGTGGGTCTACGTAGCATGCACAGTGAAGGTTTGCGAATCCAGCTGGAAGACCAATTAAGGCCACACACTGAGAATTGCCTGGGGGAGCCAGAGAAGTAAGCATGAACACTACATCGTGGAACTGCGATCACGATGAGCGTTTACGATGAGCGTTTCAGATCGCTCATTCTACCTTCAAAATTTAAGCATGAACGCAGCCTTAGACTAACAAAAAAATGTCTTTATCAACCACAGGAAGACCTCTGAAAGTCTACCGAAACGGTTATTTTCTCCCCGCCATGTATCCTGTGAAGGACTGGGGTGTGTGAGAGTGTGTATTTGGGCTTTCGCTTGGGAGGGGGACTTTAGGTGAGAGAGGTGAGTTGTCAAGGGATAGTCAACTGAGCTTACATTTATCAAGATCTGAAACTATCTTAAATTTACAGGATTATCCGATAGACGTAATTAGGTTCGAACCCGAGGTGCCAGAGGCAGAGTGATGACCACTACACCTTTTCTTGTTCTGTTCTTGGACACACGTACACGAGCGTTGTAACAGTAGTGTGGGGTCTTATAATTGTGCAAGTGCATGGAAAGTCTTGTACAAATTACACTTTTCTCTAGACTAAGTATGTAAATGGCTCCAGTGCGCGTATAGCTCGTAGGTGCTTAAGAGTAACTACATTTCTAAGCGCATAAAGGAAAAAACAGGAATGGAAGGAGAGAGAGATAGATACAAAATTTCACTACTTCTTAAGTTAAGGTGAAATTCAAAGAAGATCACAAATATGTTAACTAATGTATCACTAGAAACTGGTAAGCTTACAGATGGCCATCGGACAAGTTTTAGGTCAACTACATATCGGGTGATTTATAAAAAATACAAATACAACCACCTCCATAGCAGCTGGGATATACGAGAGATTCGCCGGAAAAATAACGATGTTTTAATGACGTCACTATATGGACCAACACTGCCCAAGCAGACGACATCCCACAGAGAATGAATATAATTGCAAAGCTATTATTTCTCAAATTATAATGAGTTTAGTGTATATAAATGTAATGGCATGCCAAACCATTCAAAAAGGGATATGACCCGATTTCTGATAAATAAAATCTTTTGCTTGTAAATACACAGGATAGGGGTTGATTAACAATCAAAGAAACCAGACTTTCAAATTGAAAAGCCCCGGAATGATATTAAGGACGACATTTGTTCCCTATTGAAACGCCGAACATACCCCGGTGTGTGCAGCTGAATATACAATGGCGTCTTATTTTGTTTACAAGCGGCAGATTCCTTTATTTTTGTATCGCTGCATTTGTCATCAAAATAAAACAATGCGCGGGGTTTAGAGTGAGGCAATAGATTATACATTTAGCCTGACGGTAGTGAAGTAAGAGAAAGAACTCAAGATAAGATGAAAACACAGGCACTGAAAATGTGTGAGATGTCATGGGACATCGTCTGCTTGTGCAAGTCATGTCCATACTGTGATCTCACACATCTCAGCAGCGGTCGGAGAGCTCTTCAGGTGCTATGCTGGGGCTGTATTTAAGCGTTTTGTAATTTATAATGATCATTACTTCGAATGTTTCCAAGCATTGAATTTTGATCAACTTGTCGAATAAAAGTTTCAACTTTGCAATAATTAAAATTAAGTTAGTTTTTAAAATCAATGAATAACTTCTTTAAGTTACTACAAATACAAACTTTTCACAAACTAACGCTTTAAATTTTCATACAATGTTTACATTTTTATTATTTTTTTGAAAAGGTGAAATTGAAGAGAATCATGCCAAAAAGTATTTCAAAAAGAAGAATAGGACATTCGCCATTATCCACGATCTCGTATGTACATGCACAGCGGAGATTTGTTCACGCGGGGACTTTCCCTTTCTGGGGTTGAGACTGAATCTCTACAAACAGTGGAAAAAAAGAGGGCGCTCTTCACCCATTGACGAGGATCTCTATTGATGTTGAGGGTATTTTAATAGTAATTCAATAATCATGCTGTTTTAAACTTGCTATGTCTCTTTTTATCAGTTTATTTGATGAATTGTCCTAAACACAGACGAGGATACTCTTTATGTCAGGGACTATAGCTTAATGTTAACCATTATGTTGACAGTCGACCAAAGTTACCATCTCTATTTTGTTGTGATCCATCCGATGATCATGACGTCATTTGTATATACCTGTATTTATATATATATGGCTACAATATGAATTCAGAATTATTCATAGGATTTACATATATTTTGACAGGACCTGACCGTGTTGCAGTTGTTGTTCACTCCATGACGAGCTTCAATTCTAACACCAAGATGGCACTGATGTTGGTCTTTAAGAAGTCTCAGCCAACCACCTTCCAGTGCTCTAAATGCGTCATCCAATGCAACAATCTAGCTAAAATGCAAGCTCAAGACCTCTCACGGCTCACTGAATTCCTCGGGAAGATACCCAGTCATCCCCTACCCATCGCTGAAGTGGAGGCACCTACAACCCAAATGGCTTCTAGTACTTCCGACACCGCACAAGTCTCTCAGGCCTCACCGAAAGTCGACACCTCACCTGATAGATATGCCACCCAAGACAAAGTGATCGACATAACCTACCCCATAGCCTTGGTCAGTCTTTCTTCATCAAATCAACCCGAAAAATTGCGGGATGGTCTACGACGACAATTTCCCGGAAAGACAATCGTGTTGATTAAAGACATACATGGCCTGGCAAGCAACAGGCACTTTTTTGAAGCCATTCTTGTGGACTTGGGATCATTACAGGAAGCTGCCTCTTACAGTTCGGATGAAAAGAAGCTCGCCTTGGATATTTACCAGAAATGCGTAAAAGAGATGTGTAGGTGTTACAGTTTTAGTTGTAGGCTAATCTCATTACATATGGAAATTTTAAAGTGACAGAATCGGTAATGTCACCGTGATGTAAAGCCTGACTAAAGTCTTCCAAGTTGACAAACAAAATTATATTAACAATTTAAATCCTACAATATTTTGAAGGATCTTTTTCTTTGAGAGAACAAAAGGATATGGTTTTCCTGGTTCTAGGACACCTACCCCCTGGACATAAACCCCCGGATAACCACCCCTAGGATAACTACCCCCTAGGGCAACCACCCTCTAGGACAACTACCCCAGACAACCACCCCCTAGGATAACTACCCCCGGATAAGTACCCCTAGGACAACTAATCCCTCGGACAACTATTCTACGGGATATTTGTCCTAGGGGGTAGTTGTCCGGGGTAATCTGTAAATAATGATATGATAAACGCACCTCTATATTGAGTCGACATACCTACATGTGTGTAGTGAAAACTTCTTCTATAGAATTTCACTAGTATTTTTTAGGATCTATTGGTATAATAACATCAACATTTAAATATCAAGCTCTTATTCGTTTATAAACAAATTCTGAAATGTTCACATACTTGTTAAGATTTGTAATGTATATTCGAAGGATATTCTACAAAAAATAAATTCCAATAGGGTATTACAATTTTATACATTGACTAAACTTGTAGCAAGGGGTCTAATAATCACTTATCTCAATCTTACTACTCTTAGTGGTACCCCAGAATTTAGCCATGTTGATGCTAGCTCCGACGAATACTCATTCAGAACATAAACATGCAGGTGAGTTAACTTATTATTCAATCTCTAAAGGTAGTTGATGACTCAACTACAGCTTCTGATTTACACATTTATTTTTTTATTTTACGAATATTTTAGACCCTATATGCTTTTCGCTACAACTGTATGGGACTGTGTATATCGTCTTCTAGTCCCAGTTTTCTATGTAGATGTTCCTTTTCATTATAGAGAAAGATGCCACTCTCCTCACCCGTCACGGCACAATGCACATTCACCATTTTTTCTCGTGTTATTATTTGCAGATATCATACGCATGATAAGCGAGATCGCCAAGACCAGAAAAGTTTCTGTCTTTCAGTACAGCAGTGAATCTTGCAGACCATCTCACTTTGATGTTGACATGAAAAAACTACTGGTTAACTGGCTTCTCGATTGCATCAAAAGATACCACGCAGCTGCCCCACAGGAGGGACCCGGCTTCTTCGGGAGCATTCAGATTCAAAAAGCCAAGTTTCTCACGTTTTTTAAGAAGCTAGGCAGGTAGAAGTACGTCAGTGGGGTGGTGGATTCACAGGCCTACCTTGGAGAAGTCCTTTTGACTGGTAATGGATGTCTAGTAAGAGAATGACGTGAACATGAAGCCTTGAACATGACTGTTAGTGGTGGTTGGACACCTAAGGAGGATCTGTTTTGTCTAGCAAGGCAGCAACGTACATGTAATAAAATTGTATTTTAAAGACTTTCGCTTCATTAAATACCACCAAATTTTGGGTTTAAAAATCTTAATTTATTTTTACCCGATATGTGGCAAAGCATACAAAAATATGTATGATTTTAATAGAAAAAGGAGAACCCTTGCGAGGTTCGTGCCAACTGTTTTTGAATAAACACAACTTTTCGGATATCTTCTTTCTTCTTCAGGTAAAGAACAGGCTGACGTTATCAAGTAAGAGTGAACACTAACAAAATCAAAATATAAGAGAGAGATTCTTTTGTGTTCTAGATCAATAAAAAGTTGAATATTAGCATGAAACTAGTAAAATGAATTCTCCTTTATATACATATGTTTGTATGCATGTGTATTATATACGTAGTGTTATGCTTATCTATTAAGTCATTTTTCCAAACAATTACTAAAAACGCTTAATAACACCCCTGACCTATTAAGTATAAACTATAAATTTACAGTTTTTAGCATTCCAACCACAATAGTCAACAATAGAGGGCGTAAAAAATTAATAAATAAGTCGGAGCCATCATCAGCAAATACCAATACAGACTTTGGCCAACTGATTTGTATTTGTCCAACAAAACAACATCCGTCTTACCAAAGGCTGCACCATCAAATGCCAGTGTAATCACTACATTTTCATTGTGACTGTCGTATATATGATGAAGACGCAGTGGCGGATCCAGGGTGGGAGCCCGCCCCCCCCCCCCCCCCCCTGGCCAAAAACAAATAGGTTTTTAAAAAAGATGGTAACGTTAATTTTACCATTAAAAAAAACAAAAAAAGACAGGCCCCCTCCACTGAGCAGAAACACATTTTTTAATTTGTTGTGCCTACAAGAGGATTTCTTTAGTCTTGGCGATCGCGTTCTATATAATTTTTTAAGCAAAATAACTAATTCCACTAAAAATTGTTTCATTGGTACATAGGCTTTTAATTACTCAAAAGTTACAATTGTGATATTTTAATGAATGAGACACTACGGTAAACGGCAATGTTGTACATATTCTATATGAGATATTTTACAGACCGGTTGTAATTTTTCATTTAATAAATCAACTTTGTTCGTTGGTTGGTTCGTTGATTTATTTGTTTCTCTGTATATCTTCCAAAAGGGATTTATATATTTGGCAACGCTTTTAAACTGTAATATTCATAACTTCTGCGAAAACTTGAACATATCAATCACGTTCATGACTTCTTTAGTATTGAAGTATTTAACTCCTTTGTTTGTTTGTTTGTTTACCGCTTTTCTTTTAGTGTGAATAGATTAATGCTCTGCTCTGGTATTTGCAGTTAGCAATAGCCAATAGGATAGATGTATAAAATAGAAGCAGTAATAACCATTGTGTAAAACATTGGGTGCTGTGTCTTTTGTTACGTTCGGCGCTGTTAACATGGTGAAGTTAGGTTACGGACGCCCTGCCCGTTTTAGATGTATTTTCATCCTCGTTATGTGCTCTTCGTATCAATAAATATACTTCAATGGTTTACGCTCTCGTTGTGGACGTTGATTTATTCTACAAACCTGCACCATTTCAAAGATATTGATATAGTTTCTCAAGTTGATTGAGATCTGAGATTGATCATGTTAATATTTTGTTTCTAAGGGACATGTAATCGACACGTCTGCTGAAGTCTCGTGAGAACAGCGAAAGAGAATGAAAGTGCTAGTGTTTGATATTTCAGGTGTCGGCATAGAACGGGATGCTACTTTGACTCCACCTGTCATTCCGGTGTTGGACTGTTTCAAGTCCATTAACTTTCCATTGTTAAATGATAATCCAAAAAATTGACCACTACACTTAAAGAAATTCGAAAATCAGAGAGGTAGACTGGTAAAATATTGAATGAAATCGGACGAATAGTAAGAAAATAATGGGTTTTGAACAGGTTGTAATCACTATACGTATGGGTATTTCGAATTGACTGCATCAGAAATGTCACTGTCACGCAGTGCCGGACAACTTTCTCATTTGTTTCAATACACAAAATGACTATATTTTCTTGTTGCTTTTCTTCAAAATGCATGAATAACGAGGGCCTTCTCTTTTTAGAGTACCTATAACAATATGATATCCCCCAAAAGAGAGGGCACAAGAGAAAATAAAAATGAATATTTTTGTACACGACAAACTGGGTTATCCATGGCTAGGTCACAACCAACTGACCAAATTGCCAATTTGAGATTCGCTAAGATTTAGTGATCTCATATTTCAAACATTAATAACTTTCTTATTATTCGTTCGATTTACTACAAACTTTCACTCATTTGTTTTCCCTTTTTTTCCTGAATGAACTTTTTACAAAGGTTGGTTGGGTTGCCCTTTTAGTCTAAACTTATGTATTCAAAAAGGGCGTTATTTACACCAGCGGTTTAAAAGTTGGAAAGGCTAAAGAATACAGTTATGTAAGATACATCATTACATTAATATACATGTACTGTATATGAACATGTAAGAGTGTGGATGTGCGTGTGAGTGTGGGTGTTAAAATTAATTCTGTTTTATGATCATGAAGTTTCTAATGGTTTAGTTTACGTGTTGATCCACTTTTTTCATTCAATAAGAATGGCATAGACAATTTATTTTGTTTATACAAAATAACAAACACAAAGTTTAAGGTTTTTGAAACAGTAGATATTTTTTAATTCAATCATATATAACTTATCTTCACGTGTACATTATACTCAAGAATCACATAAAAGGCAAAATTTAAAGGTCTATAAATTCCAATCAATTGCCTCCTAAAACAATACGAACATGCGACCATACAAAATCATACAGTAAATTAGTATGGATTATGATTTTCTATCATCCAAACAGATTTTTCTGTGTGTGGAAGAGCGTGTGGTTGCGTGTGTGTGGGCGGCTGTGGCGTGCGTGTTCGTGTGCGTGTGCGTGTACGTGTGTCTGTGTGTGTATGTGATTATTGTGGGGGGGGGTTATCTCGCGGAAACCATGTAACTACACACAAGAAATCAGTACAGCGGCATTGTAACAGTATAATATATAACAAAAATTCTCAAGAACAGTATATATATAAACAAATCTAAATTTTGAACGGGTAACGATTAAACATACAAATAATTTACAAATCTGAAAATAATGTTTCGCAAAAGGTCTTGGCTCTGTTACTCATTAACACACTTCATCAAATTCCTCAGCCGCCGTTTTTATATTTACGCTTTTATCTAACTATACGCGGATGGAGACATTTAACATTCAGTACTGTCCAAAGTTCTACAGATTACATGTGCAAAAGGAAACGCTATCTGACTTCGGTGCAGGTTCTGCAGCATCTTTCACGAAAGTGTGTTTGAGAGCAGCTTCCTGATTGGACGATCATCAAACACATGGTGTTGCTGAGTGTATTCCTACAAACTGTTAACAGAAAATAAAAAAGTATATATCAAAAATTGTAATATTCACAAGACCTTATGCACAAAAACATTTAATTAATAACAAGAGTAATAGATGGTATTCATTATTTCGCTTTTTTATCACTGGAAACAAAGCGTCAAGATATGTCATCCCTGGGTCAGCGTTCGAGTAAAAATATATAAAAATTACTAAGCAGTGACAGTGTGAGTTAAATGAATGCATATGGACCCCGTTGCATAAAACTTGCCATTAATGGTAACTTTGCCATCAATGTCAACTACCATGGTAACGGGACTCAACAGCCAATCAAAATCAAGGTTTCTATGGTAGTTACCATTAATGGCAAAATTACCATCGATGGTAAGTTTTGTGTAACGGGGCAATGGTTTCAGAATAGATATGGCTTCAAACTCTGTGAATTTTTCTAAAGTTGGTGATTATTAAGTTAGGTGGGAGCCTTTTCCAGAGTTTGGGAGCAGTAGAGAAGAAAACTGCAACGTCACCTAGTTTGTTGGTGAGTGGTTGAATGCAGGTCACTGACGATGGTTGACGAGTGCGCCGTCAATGAGAACGCCGTTTCTCCGTCTTCTCTTATTTTGATTACAATTTGGTTATCAATGATTAGGGTAGTTGTAGTGGTAGCAGGCGCGGATCCAGGATTTCTTAGGGGAGGGGGCCCAACTTTTTTTTTTTTGCTCCCGAAAATGTAAAAATCGCGCCGGCCGAAAAGTCGCTCAGTGGGGGGGGGGGGTGTACAGAGCACAATTTTTTTTTTTTTTTTTTTTTTCTTGCTCCCGAAAATTTGAAAAACGCGCCGGCCAAAAATTCGCTCAGTGGGGGGGGGGGGGGGGGGGGGGGGGGGGGGGGGGGGGGGGGGGGGGGGGGGGGAGCACATTTTTTTTTTTTTTGATCCTCAAAAAAATTTCAATTTGCACCCCCCCCCCCCTTGAGCGCCAGGGGGGGGGCCCAACCCCCAAAATCGTAAAATCACGTGATTTTACATGATTTTTTTCTCAAGGGGGGGGCCCGGGCCCCCCGGGCCCCCCCCCCCCTAGATCCGCCACTGAGTGGTAGTGGAGGTTATTTTACCTGACTGCTAAGAAAGCATAAATGCTTGTTAGTAAGCAACTAGAGCAATTAATATATGATTATAACAGTCATATGCATTGTTAATAATACCTCGAGGACAAATGCCCAAGTTACAAGACTGCAATGAAACGGGTTGATTTTCTTGGGAGCATCCTGGTGTCCTCTGGCCGGTGATTCTATCAACACACTCCACTATTCGTTGTTGGATACCATCGCCACAAGTTACAGAGCACTGTGAAAGAAATTGAGATGATAATGACATGATGGGTGGGCATCAGAGGAATGTAGAAGTGGGAAACATACCCCCCCCCCCCCCCCCCCCCCCCCACTTAGCTATCACATTGTTTGTTAACCTACAGCTTGGTGAAACGCTTGACATAGGACCAACAAAGTTGTGAAAAGGTGAGGAATGGGCCACTCATTCCACCCTTCCGAAATAAAATTTACAATTTATGTAGTACATTCAATGTTAGATGTTTATTCAATGTTAGATATATCGACATATATTGGCGACATTTAAGGTATCATTTCACATCATATTAGTTTCTATTTCCTATACAAATATTATCCACGTTGTACTAAAAAAAAGGCTTAAATACAAGTTTCATGCTCTGCGGCATTACCATCACTTGTCGAGCTCTGACACCGTGTCTATGTTCATGAAAGCCCCTGTCAAAATGCTTAGAATTACAAATAAAGAAAGCTATTAAGGTCGGAACCTACCGGCTGCCACGGTTGTTTTGACCACCCAAACGAAGGCTCTTGAGACTGATGTTGCAGACGAGTAGCAGTATCTGAAGCCGGTGGATGCTTGTCGTTTAGGGCAGATGGGAATAAGAT